CAATAGTACTAGCTGGACCACATTGGTCCTCCAGACAAGATGTCTGGGCGCCGTTGTTATCCTCACAGGGCCCGGTTTGAAAGAGAGCTTAGATGTGCCCAAGAACACGATATCCCGATCTCAGGAGCCACTTTCACCGCTATCAGATTCAGGTTCAACTGCAATAAAGATATTCGTCAGATAATTATCAGCTCAGAAACCGGTCACCCTTTACCATCTCCCTCCACATCTCCTTTGATATTACCTAAATTCATCCTTTCTCAACTTGAGGCCCAGAGGGTTGCTGACCCCAACAGAATCCCTCCACAGCTATCTGTGGTTCTAGAGCTCGTCTCCGAAACTTTCTCTAAGAAACCCACCCGAGGCAAGGCGTTTACCTTCCCAACTTTGTTTCGATACTATCACGGCGAGTGGTCCAAAACCTACTTTGTCTACGCCTACCTCGATCTCCAGATGGAATCACGCAAGTACACCATTGACGAGCTTCAGCAGCTCAAAACTACCTATTGTAGAGACGCACTGGACAAGCTATGTGCTAAACACGAAGTTGGTAAGCGAATCCGCTTTTCTTTACTTTCTGCCTGTCCCCCCCCCCCCTCCGCCCCCTCTCCCCCTTTCCCCTATTTTTCTCCTTCCCTCTTTTCGTTTTTCTTTCTACATTTCTTTTCATGCCCATTCTTCTCAATTACCCAAAACTTCCCCCCTCTACTATATTCTTATTCTAATATTTTATCCTACTTCCCATCACCTCATCACAACTATACTCACTGCTGGTTTGTCGTTGCTTTTACACTAACAAACGCAGCTGAGATTTTTAGAGACCTAACGAGCAAAATGCCTGCCCAAGTTAGATACGTGAAGAAGTCGAAGGAGGATGTGTCATCCTCAACGGAGAGTGATGAGATTATATTCCATGGCAAGAAGAACAACCGATCTCAGTGGCAATACAAAGGCCGCACCGGATCTGAGGTCTCCTCGAAAGAACCGCTCCCTGCTCCAGCAGGACTTGTGGCACAGCAAAGTGAAGGCTTCCAAAGATTCTTCAAAGCCGTCGTTTCGCCTACTCACGTTCGAGTAACAGCTGGAGGAAGAATCGTACCAAACACACGCGGCTCCGTATCACCCACCGCAAAATGGGACAAGGAACATTCAGCAACCAATGGACTGGGTTCAACAGAGACTTCTAAAGACGAGAAACCCCATGTTTCCAGTGGCGCTACCAATCAGTTTCCGCAGGCGCAAATCCCTCTACAGTTCCCTGCCCCTCCGGGATATTTCCAGCACATGGGCTTGCCTATGCCCCTATACCCTGTTCCTCACGGAATTCCCATGGCCTTTGGTATGCCCACTCTTCCCCTTGCACACTCGGGTGGTAAGCAACCTGCTCTCACTCAAAACCAGCAGGATATCGACGAAGCGGCCAAAGAAGTTAAGACTCAAGACGGTGCCGGTGATAAGAAGCCGAGGCCCGCTCCTATTAAGATCACTCCTAGAGATCAGTTCGAGCAGAACCGTCCGTTCTACCATAATGGTAACGTGATCTATCCTCAGGCCTATGGATTAGTACAGGGCCAAATGCCTATGCCGATGATGCTTTCAAGTCCGTGTTTCCCGCCTGGCGTAGTCGGACATCTGGGTTCTATTGGCGCTCAGATGAGCGCTTTCGGTTCAATGGGACAGCCATCCCCTGCTGCATCAATGTTCAGTCCTGCCGCTATCGTTTCTCCTCATTTCAATGCCCCCCACGCTGCTAGTGGAGGTTCTCGATCAGTGCAGCCAACGTTTGCTCCCAGTCAGGGAACTACGCCTCACATCACGTCAATCAGACCGAGTGAAATCACAAAACGTCAACTTGATGCGTTGAAGACTTCCCTTAAGTACTATGAAGATCAACTACAATACAACAGGCACCAGATTGACGAGAAATGGACCGAAGAGCAAGCAGACAAGCTGAGAGAAAGCGTACAGCAGTTCGAGCAGAACTACAAGATGCAGGCAAATTTCGAGGCCTCCTACTATCCCCAAGTTCCGACTGGATCTACTGGAAGTTCAACTCAGCAAGGGGCACTTTGGAAGACCCCCACGGGAAGTTCTAGCGTTAGAAGCCGTCGAGGTGGAAATACGTCTCAGAATAGTTCCGTCGGCATTGGTGATCAGGGCCGCAACCTTTCGCATTTCCAATCATCTGAGCGACTTAGCTCGAGACATGGTAACCACAGGAACTCGAGGGCAATCGGAATCAACTCGAATAAAGGAAACACATCGCCGCTCAGTCTGGATCCCGCGCTGGAAGCACTTATCCAAGACAAAATGAGAAGAGGGCTTGCTGCACCTGAACCGACGAAGAACGTGGGATCCTACACTGACGTTGCTTCTGCGCCTACATTTGACGGAGCGCCGCATTCCTTTACAATTCAGTCGGAAGGAGCAAATATTGGACCGCAAGTTGGTTTCCCTAGCACACATGGGGTTGCTGGATGGCCATCCCTTGGCGTGCTGCCGTTTGACCATAACGGTAACTGGAACGGCATGTTCCCTACAAACTCGAACACGGTTAACCGCGCTTCTGCTGTGAACTCCCAGCCGTCGTCCGCGAGTTTTGTTCCGAATAGCCATAGCCGTCCATATCTCGTTGGAACCCTACCCCGAGGAGTGCATCCTCATAGTGGCCATGGAGCCGAGTATGTATATTCGCGAGAGTTAACCGCGGAGGAGAAGCGAGCTCGAAGTAACTACTGGGGCCACGTTCCGAATGTAGGGTTCGGCTTACCAAAGTTTGACGGAAAGGATTTCTATCCACCTTCACCAGTAAAAGCCACCTACGGTGCTGAGGCTTCTCAATCTACACTCCGTCCAACAATACCAACCGGTCGACCGGACCTCGACTTCGGCTTCCGAACCCAGCCTACAGAAAACGACCCTTTCCGTTCCAGCCATGGGACTCAGAAGATCAGCAAGGCTATTCCGATTGTTGCTCCTGATGATGCCAGCCGAGGGGGGGCGTCTAAGAAGGATTCTGCTTCTGAAGGCCTCTCTAATAATTCCAATAAGCCTAAGAGCAACAAGGTTCCGTCCCCAGCCGCGTCATCTGAGGCCGACAAGAAGCAGGATGCGATGGGTCGACGAACCGTTGAAAGGTCTAGGTATGTGAACGAATAATTAGGCGCGGAATCAGAGGCTGACCTTCTATAGCAACAAGTCCGGAAATGATCTCTGGCAAACCATGCTGAAGAGAGGGCCAACCAGTGGGGCCGTGGTGCCTAGCACAGTCTCGTCGACCACAGCTACGGGATATTTGCCTCAGTATCATGGCCATGCTGCTGCCTCTCTTGGACCTGCAATTTCTAACACGAGCAACATGGCGGTCCGCGCTTCACCCGAAACTGGAGACAAGAGTATTGAATATGACGCACAACGATCTGCAGAGAAAGTTGGAGAGAACTGCCCGCCCAACGAGACGCGCTCGGCAGACTACGATCCGTTGAAGGATGTCCAAGAACGTATGCTTCGTGACGCTGAGCGACGTGGAGTCGTTGGTTCAGACTGGTGAAGGCTAAGCTGCACATTGCCGGGAGAAACAAAGCAGTATCATGTCCACCAATCCTCTCTTTGCCTATTATGCGACGAGAAATGAAGCAGCAGCTCTATAAACAACATCTTGTTACACCCATGCGAGTATGATTAGGTTCATTTCTTCGAGAAGTCGACCATAGGTTATTGTTTATGATTTCAGTCGACTGAATATTTCCTATTTCGTTTTCCGTCACCATTTGGAGGTTACGAACACATGTATGATCATCCCGTATGATCCTTCCGCATGGTCAAGATTGCAACAATACTTTGTGTTTCGATGGAGACAACAAAGACAAGATCACGAGAAGAAAAGCAGAAGCAAAATATGCGCTACATTGCTTTCGAGTGCTACGTTTATTCGGCAGAAGTAATAATTTCTCTTTGACATAATTTTGTTTTTGATGAGGCGGAAAGGGGGGGGAGGGACATGGTATCGTGTAATGATGACAGAACTGAGGTGGTTGAGGTTGAGAAGTAGGCAAAAATCGGTTGCATTGCAGATTTCATTATTGCTTTATTGTTGCTTCGACATTACTAGGATCGCAGATAACTTGCCTCACGGCCCATAATTGACAGCATTCATTGTACTGATGATGAGTGTTCTTATCAACTAAATAATACTTTGACTAATACCTAGTGACTAGTAAAAAGAAGAGTTTTTAATAAAAATTGTACGCCTACGAATTATCTTAGTTTTCGACAAGACAAAATGTGCTTCACCATCAAACTCCCAACCTCATGGATATTATCTATTGGTTGACAGTCTGCAGGCGAGGGGGCGACAAGGGGGTGATTCATTATTATATCCCTTGTGCTTGCTTTACTCTTCGCCAGTCGTATACCTCGAAAACCAAAGGGTTGAAGTTGACGCGGAGATATCCTGGCGGTATTTGCTTTACATCAAATCGAATAGGGGGGAACCGGTTGCAATTATGGATGCGTGCTTACGGGAAAAAAGAACCACTTACATTGAGGGGATAACTCTCTGGATGGACTAGTATCCTGGAGAAGCCTCGTCCATCTATCTCCCCTAGATCTGTCTAACTCCCTTAATTGGGATGAGAGGGTAACCTAGAGGTCAGCCCGGCGGAGCGCGCATTACGGCATAAACACGGCCAGTCAGAAATATAGACAGCGAGACTTCGGGAAGAACCTCCCATGGAACATTTCACAAGAGACTGTGAAATGGCCATTGTGTGCATGCAAATATTTTTCATTTGGTGGGTATGTGCCACCGCATCTAGATGCTTGATCGTCGAGCTCCCATGCAATCAAATCCCGCCGATGATCCGTCATGTCCCTTTCGATGAAGCCGGGGGAGAGTGCTTTTACCCTTTCGCAAGACGCCATAGTCCGTGATATTCCTCACGCCGTCTCGCAGGACGCTTCGTCATTTATCTACCAACGGGTATCCGCCCCTCTTTCGCCAGGCCAGGCCGGTGGCACAACCGAGTTATGAAAAAAAGGTGGGTGGGTGTTAAGCTAGAGAGACGGCTTATTTGGCAGCAGCCTTGCCCTTGGACCGCAGCTCGCGGCCGACCTTTATGCGCTCTAGGATGTTCTCGCGGTCCTTGTCGAGCTTTAGCTTGGTGATGACGACCTTGCTGGGGTGGATGCCGAGGGGCACGCTCTGGCCGGAGGCCTTGTCGCGGGTGACGCGCTCGATGTGGATCTGGTACTTGAGACGGTAGACAGAGGTGACCTTGCCCTCGCGGCCCTTGTTGGTGCCTCGGACGATGGTGACCTCGTCATCCTTTCGGACGGGGATGCTACGGACCTATGGGCAAATTTCGTGTCAGAAGACAAGTTTACGAGTGCAAGTCGAAACGGGTGTGGGATATCACGGAGGGGTTATTTGTTAAACACTTACGTTGTACTTCTCACGGAGCTCCTTGCTAAGAGGAGCGCTCATGATGACACGGCGCTCGCCGGAAGACGCACCGAAGTGCGCCTTTCTCGACTTTCGTCGCGAGCTGGCGATACCTTGAAAATCTCGTTAGCATCGCATCGCACCGTTCAATTGACAACGTCAAACCCCCAAGCTACACATTCGAGAGGGAATTAGTAAAGCGTATAAACGTACCGGAGTTAACCTTCGTCATTTTATCGGTGGGCGTTGGGTGAATTGGCGAGAAAGAGTTGGTTTCCGAGGGACGAAAGGTTGGTGTTGGATTTGGCGGAGGTTCACGATTTCCGAGGGAAGTTGAAAATGGAAAAGAAATTGGTGGGCTACAAATTTTTGAAGTGCCCTAACAGGGGTGGACCCGCCTAGCTTCGTTTAACGGAATTTGATTAAGTAAGGAATTGTGAAAGTGGCTTAGATAACCGGTACTTCCATAGGTACCAGGCTAGGTGGGTGTGGTTCAGTTAAAGCCCCACCTCGGATTCCGGAACCATGGTACGTACTGATGTACATAGTACCTAGTATGTATGATTTCAAGGTGGGATGGCCCGATGGATGCAGCTCCCGTCTTAGCATTGATCTTTCGAATCCGACTTCGAGAACCGAAGATCTTGGGGAAACCTCCAGACCAGTCAATCGACAGCAACATGTGGTCTAGATTAGTGCGCCGGAGGGCGCTTCTATTATTACTAAGAAACCAGTCTGCTTCTGCAAGGAGTCGAATCCAAAAAAGGACGCTGGTCTCGGCACCTAAACCTGGTGATGGGCCTCTGATGGAGAGACGTCCAGATAGAGAGCTTCCAAGTGCGTCTCTCTCTGTCTCTTTCTACGTTTCTATATTATACATATACATGTAAAACAGACACAACTAACCCCCCACAACCCCAGACATCAACACATTCCGCTGGGCGCGCACCTTCCCCATCTTCCTCGCCCTAATCGCCGCCTCCAGCATCGCCATCTTCAACTACCAGAAGCTGTCCAGCCCCATCGTCGCCTCGACGCTGTACGCGCTGCGCACGAGCCCCCGCGCGCGCGAGCTCCTCGGCGACGAGATCTACTTCCAGCACCAGATCCCGTGGATCGCCGGCGAGATGAACCAGCTGCGCGGCCGCATCGACATCCGCTTCCCCGTCAAGGGCACCCGCTCCACCGCCGTCATGCGCTTCGCCAGCTTCCGCCCTACCCCCAAGGGCGTCTTCGAGACGACCGAGTGGAGCCTCGAGACCCCGGACGGCAGGAAGATCGATTTGCTGGAAGGGGATGATCCATTTAGGGCCGTGGCTGCGTTCCCGATGGATGAAGAGGAGCGCGAGCAGGCGACGAGGGGGTTTAGACAGCAGCTTAAGTGAGGGGGCTGTATAGAGAATATTGTGTTAGGGTAGTAGAATACTCTACGGGTAGCTGTTAAAAGCGCTTGAGTATGAGCAAACCTCATAGGCGATATTAGAACATGTCGCTTCTGGTTTGGCGCTTGGGGTAACGAAGAAGGCAGCGTACAAGTCGGCAGAGTGGACGATCCGCAACGCCAGCCATACTCTTCATTATGATCTTTATTAGGATCGAGAGACGTGTACATCATCATTGTATATGGTACAAATGTAGTATATATTCTACAATGCAGCCGCCAACGCCACAGCATCTCCTATCTTGCCCTCCTTCCTCATCCCCTTTAAGTTTAGATGTGTTTCCCGTGCTTCTTGTAACTGCGCCTCGTGGTCTGGATTCCGCTCTAGCATCAACCTCCTAGCCTTCTCGATGAACGTCTCAGCTGGCGGATCCTTCTTGACAGCGTCGGCTAGCTTCACTATGCAGCCCTTAGGCCCTGCCACGTGCCCGTTCACCACCACGATGCCCGTCTCGTTGTCTACCTTCAGCACTCTCAGGTTTTGAATGGTGACCCTCTCGCCACCCATACGCCCCGGCATCTTCTTGCCTGGGTGCACACGCGAACCACCGCCCTGACTGGGACCCGACGTACCGATCGTCCTGTGATTCTTGGAGTTACCGTGGCTGGCCTCCTGACCAGCGAAGCCGTGCCTCTTCATACCACCCGCAAACCCCATACCTCGACTATTACTCCTCGCATCGACGAACTGACCGACCTTAAACCAATCCGGTTGGAGCTGCACGCCGACGGGCAGCAGTCCCTCCTGGCCGCGCACCTTGAACTCGGAGAGGTGGCGCTTGGGCGCAATTCCCTTAGCCTCGAAGTAGCCCAGTTGCGGCGCAGTGACGTTATCGGCCTCCTTCTGACCACAGCCGATCTGGAGAGCCCAGTAGCCATTCTTGGCGCGGGTCTTCACAGCAACGACTTGCACTTGGTCCATTTGCAGGATTGTGCAAGGTGTGCGCTTGCCGTTCGCGCTGTACATGGCCGAGACGCCCTTCTTGGTAGCCAGGATACCAGTCCGCAGGGGCGTCGACATCGCCTTGCGCTCTAGGGCCGCTGCGGGGCCCGTCGTGGGCGCGGGCAGACCGGAGCTCTGTTGATTGAAGCGCGTGGGTTTTGTGCGCGGGTTGGCCGTCGACCAGCCATACTTGACGCCGCGCTTGGTAGTTCGAGGGAGGAGTGTATGGCTCTCGGTAATAAGGACTCGGGTGTTGCCCAGCAAGCAACTCTTGGTGAGGGAGGCTGCCCAGCGGGCTGGCAGTCGAGATGCCATTTTCGCTGGGAGCTTAGTGCTCGACTACCAATTCTACTCGAGATGTGTTATGGCAACCCTTGGTTATTCGTAATTTCGGTATGTCGAGTAGACCGACAGGCATTAAAGTGGCGGCTTGGAATAGCAATTCGAGATGGGGAAAGTTGAAGCTTTGGTTTGGTTTAGAGTTGAAAAATGTCGGGTGGGTCCAGGGAACTTTTTCGGGGAATCTGTGGTAGGTGGGGTACGTACCATCGATTGGTCGCATAGATCTACAGGCCTGCGCTGGAATAAAGTACTTTGCGCCTGCTGAAGAAAAAAGTATAATCTATTCCTTCTTTCATATCTAAAACCTTTTAAGAAATAAAATTTATTTTTATATCCAATATCTCATACGTCGACATCAAAATGGTTTATTACTTCAAATCGACCGTTGTCGATCCTCCAGCGTTCGTCTACGTCGGCAAGGACAAATTCGAGAGTGGGTGATTTGCTTTATATATTTTATATACCTGGTCTAAGTCGAACCCATGCCAACTACACACGTACTAACAACCATCGTATGTAAAGACGAGGAATTGATCAAGTACGGTTGGGAAGAAGACGTCTGGTAAGTAGCGTCGTTATCCTTTATTTACCAAATAAGCACGCGGTATTCATATTGTCTCTCCTTAGGGTACGAAAAATCCTAAACATGTTAAACTGCAACTTGGAAAGTGTCACGAATCTCATGCGATAGGGGTTGTTATGAGCAGTTTCACGTGGACAAGCTTTCCAGCGCGCATATCTATCTACGACTCAATGAGGGCGACTCGTGGGAGAACATACCGCAGGACCTGGTGACGGACCTAGCGCAGCTGACCAAGGCCAACTCCATCGAGGGTAACAAGAAGGATAATATCACCGTTATCTATACGCCTTGGTCCAACTTAAAGAAGGACGGTAGCATGGCTGCCGGCCAGGTGGGCTTCAAGGATCCGCGCAAGGTCAAAAAGGTTCTCATTGTCCAACGTGAGAACGCCATCATCAACCGGCTCAACAAGACCAAGGTGGAGAAGCAACCCGATCTTCAGCAGGAAAGAGAGGACCATCGTAGAGAGCTAAGGAAGCGAGACCAGGCTGCCCAACAACAACGAGTAAGTCCCTCTCAGAAATCTCGTTGTGAAATCTGCCAGTTTAACAATATGGCTACAGAAGAAGGAAGAGGCTAGAATAATGAAGGAGAGGCAGGAGAAGAAGTGGCAGAAGGACCACGCTTACGATGAACTGTTTACGGAAGAGAACATGGAGTCCTCGAGCAACCAGAACAGGGACGAGAACTGGGAGGAAGATTTTATGTAAAAAGAACGAATGAATTACCCTACCGAGGTGATATATAACTTCGTGATTATCCCATAATAGTAATGCAGATGCCGTGGATATGATGATCCATCTGCGCTAAAAGGCGCCTACTCATTGACTGCCCATTGATCGATCGATCCATCCCCTTTTCATCACCAGCCCTTGCTCGTGGGGGGGTGGCGGTGCCTATCACCTCTCTACCTCCCCCCAAACCGGATGTCAGCCGTCCCTCTTAAACGCAGCGTCAAGGTGCCTATACGCCGCCGTCCCCTTAACCCGGTGATCGTTCGGGTTCGGCGCGGCCTCGTACAGGATATTTACGGGCGCGCGCCCGACCGGGATCCAATCGCCCTTGAACGCCAGATACGAGATGCGCGTGGAATCGTCGCCGAAGTTGTCCTCGAAGAACAGGGCCAGCCGGCGCACGTTGCCGAACAGAGCCCGGCGGACGGACAGCTCCTGCACGCCGTTGAACTGCGACAGCTCGAACGTCTGCGTCGGGTTCATCTCCGAGGCTACGTCGAAGTCCACGTCCTCGCGGTTCGTGAAGACTTTGAGCGTGCGCGGCGCGCTGGAGTCAGGGGGCGAGCGTAGCAGGATTGTGTGCAGCTTGACTTGGCCGGTGAATCTGTCGTAGGTGTGAGTAAGTTGAGTTGATGCTGGGATGAATAGACGAAATATAGTCGCTCTGCGTAAAAAAAAAAAACTCACGGTACGTTTATAATAACCTGCTCATCAGCGTCGCTCTGGAGCTCCGGGACCAGCTGTTCACTCTCGGCCCATGTCTTCTCGATGATTTTCCTGCCGGAATCCTTGTGCGTTTCATTCAACGTGGTGATTTGGTCGAATATGATATGCTGGTATAAGCTGTGATGCATAACGGGCACTATCTCATCCGTGTGGTCGTGTTCATGGTCATGATGATGGTCACCATGGTCGTGTTCTTCACGACAGTTAGACATTTTAGCAGTTGAATTTTAATAGCCGGTATTTCGATACATGTAATGATTTAATGAGATAATCTTGGCTTTTGGGAAAGTTCAAATGTTTCTGGGTGAGTATTGCTTGATTTTATAGTGATGAATGAAGCTTGTTGGGACTTGGTGGTGGAAAGCTATAAGATCGGGTAATTGCATGTAATTGGGAAATGCGGTTAGATGCGGTGAATTGACTGGGTCGTTTTAGCAATGCCAGAACTTAAATATACTCTTACTACCTAAGACAATGTACATATACATATCTTTAGGCCTCAGTGTCTATATAGCCAACATAACTTCTTTGATCCAAGTACGTAAATTTGAGTCCGAGCAAATATTTGAGAAGGATAAAAAAAATTTTCGGTCTGACCATCCGTTATGAATATGACTCATTTCTGAAGATGTGAAGCCTACATCACGTTTTGAAGTTTCAAACCCAGCCAACAGACTCATTTCTCTTGAAGACTTAGAAAGACAGGCCTCCTGACGACTTTATAATAATAAACACTTACAACACTTATACTCTAATATTTAAGTACTATTAAAACCCCCCTTTTCGCTTTTTTACTTTTTTCTTCGGCCGCTCGTCTCTTCGACCAAAGATACCCGGTATTGGCTGAGACATAGTCTGCAACGGATCTGACATCATTGCCTGGGTCTGTGAAGAATATGCAACAGGCTGGCTATGCTGGTTGAAGAAGCGGGTGTCTAGCGCCGGTTGGGTAGCCGGCAGATTCGACTCTTTATCCTTCTGTATTTGAAGTAGTGTTTCTGCCCTGCGTCTTTTTCGACTCTCACGGGCTAGTTGTTTTACTCTCCTCTGCATTCCGGAAGTCACCTCCTTACTTCTCTCAAGATCGAACACATAGGTATCAGGGTTGGCGCCGACTTCCCATTTGTCTAGGAGCATTGTACGCTTTGCCGGTACAAATTTGCCGGTGCCTGTGTATGACCTTAAAAGAGCCATGGCTGGATCCTCCCCCTGGCTTTCCGCTCTAGGCGTTTTGGGTTCCGAAACAGGTACCTCAGACTGTGATCTTGACACATTCCCCATACGGCTCTCTGGCTGACTGTTGATAGCCATGCTTTCTAGCTCCTCGGTAAGAGATCGTTGGGTCTGCTTCGACTCTATTTGGCGATGAACCAGTCCAAATAGGGACAAATAAACATCACATGATATCTGTCGAAATATAGTAGACTTTGCTTCTTGCATCCGGGTTTGGTTCCCTTCACTTAAACCAGAGCCAGCTGCCATGCTGAAAAAAGTAGAAAAGAGTCCGTGCAGTGAAGTTGCTGGCTCCATGACCTGACTGAGTGGTAGATTCAATGCCATTAATGTTATGTCAGGGTTAATATGCCCGAGCTGTTTTATTTCCAAGTCCCATTCGGTAGCAGCTTGGCTCAAATCAGCCGGTAACGCCAGGTCTTCGATTATTTCGAAACTAGTCCTAGTTAGTTTTAAAAACATCGAAATATATGAAGAAGGCTTACAGAGTAGTGGCAGGCATAGTTCTATCCTGAATAGCTTGTCCAATAGCAGCACGAACATGGTCGAACGGATTAGAACCAAAGTTTTTCTCTCTGGAAGACTGTTCTTGGGTTCTTTTAATCTGGAGAGAAAAAGCCGCACAGATATACTCGTAGAATATCCCAAGGGGCCTTTGTATTGTTGGCCACGGATGAAATATTTTCGTGGTGTCTTGGACGTTTCCATCTTCACAACTATACACGTTGATATCGTCCGGCACAACAAAATGGGACGTCATATATTTCAATAACTTTTTTCTTTCTTTGGTCCGGTTTTTAATCCGAGATACTCTGTGATCCGGACATTTTATTTGATTGATAGTTGATGTAGATGTAGATGTGCAGAGAGTAGAAATAAGGCACATGTCTTTTGTCATAGCGAAAACCTGGTAAAATCGAATCTCTTGTCGGACAAGGCGCCGCGCAAAACCAGTCGGTGTATTCGGAGATTTCAAAATGATAGGCACAGGATGAAAACATATACTTTGGAGACCTATGCCTGGGGATGGGTGACGAACGATATCTAATGAAACTGCCTCGTGGTGATAGGAGACCCTAGAGGGGTTCTTTTTCGGCATAGTGACGGAATAGAGGTCGACCTGAGTGTTATTTCTGGAGTATACGAAGATCAGGGAAGTGACATCTCTAGACGATGCGGCCCCTGGGGTGACTGCAAGCTTCAAGCTTCGGTCGAAGCTATCTCTGAAATGCGATACTGACAGTACAATAGCAGAGCTTTTCTGTATTCCACCCCAATCCTGCTCCTGGGTAGAGTATATCCTAACTACAAACAACTTTGATGTAGTCAGAACGAACATGTATTGTGTGTCTTGTAGGTTGATATGCACATCCAGAATGGAGTCTTGGCCTCTTTCCCCGAAAAGGGGTAGATCAGGGAGAAACGTAGTATTTGTGAGATCTAGCAGCCTAACCAGCTTCGGACTGCACAAAAGCAACGTTGAAGATCGCACAAGCTGTGGAAAAGGCCCTTGGGCTTCAGAAATGTCCATATCTTCCTCAAAATCGAGGGTCTGCGACTCTTCTGGGCTCCCTGCACAGCCAACCCATAATATCTTGTGCCATTGTGCTATCCCTGTGCCTCTAGAGGGCAAATGACTCAAAACGCCTTTTTCAATATGCCCGCATTTGCTGAGGCTCACACGCGGCTTTCCAGTTCTGATTTTAATATGAGAGACATCCCAGATACTCCAGAACCCACATTCATCGATGAGCCCGAACTGAGGCGGCTTCGATCTGATGCTGGGGTTGAACGACGTATCCGAATGCGGATTTCCTCCGGTCTGGTTTTTTGAGAGGGCGAACAGTGGGTTTGCAGCAATACGGGACGGTATTTCTACATTAGTGTAATCGGATATCGTTGGCGTCCTGTGGTATTCCGGCCGAAATACTCGAGTCCCAGAGTCTCTTTGGACGATAACCCAGCGCGTCGGATCATACCTCTTTGAATCGACTACGGATTTTAGATAACGAATAGGCCCTACAAGTTCATCCTCCTCGTAGAAAATAAACTCATCTGTCTCCTTCATATCTGAAGTTTGTAGTGAAACGCTGTCATCTTCACCCCACTGCCATTCTTCTGTACTGGGTTTAGCCAGACGAAGAATATCGCCAGCTTCACCAGTAACGGTTGCTATCAACGGCGCACCGTAGTTTTTCTTTGAATCGCTTGTATCGGTTAACTCACCGATCGCAAAGAGAGATGAATTCCGTGGTTCACCCTTATGAAACTGATCTGAGTGTGATGACAATAATTGGTCATGGATACATTCATTTCCAAGGTGGGCTTCGGGGTTGGCTTTCAATAGCCATTTTTGCTGTCTCTGGGTTACCTGCCATACGGTGCCAGCTGATGAAGTAAGAGAAGGTACATCGGCCGTAGAAGGAGCTGGAAACCATGTCTTGTAGGGGCCAAGTTCCCTAAATACAGGCGCTTCAAAAGATGTTAGAGGTTTTAAAAATGAAGTTAGGATTATAGGAACTTACTATTCTGGATAAAGTTCCTCGTGGATTGCCATCCGCAATCCTCCGCCTTGCCTAGTTTATAGGGTATATGTGAAAGGCGTCCTGCGAATCCAATAGATGATTCAGTGACTTGACGGTCAGTCATTCGGAGAGCCAGGCTCGATGTATTTTTTCTCGGATGTTAATTGTTGTTTTCCGTACATAGCGATGGCTTGAAGAGCCACAGAATGTAATCCAAAACCGACCATAGAAGAATGCCACCAAGATTGGCTGGAAGGAGTAGATTAAAAGACGAGGTCGGTGCTGAAGATAAAAAATTCACTAGCAAAAGATGAGAAGTGACAATGTTGAACTTGCTGAAATGGGAAATAGTTGGACCTCGAACAGCGCGTCTTGCGCATTATCTTATCGCGTAGTTAAGGCTCTGTGTAACCTTTAGTTTTGTTAAGCATCAACAGCTATCTGGGTGATAAGTATATTCCTATAAGGTCAATTGCGATCTAAACCTATCGCAGCTTAAGTTGAATTCTGCATAACTTTGACTAGCCTAACTTTTGAAAAAATAGAAGTATATTTGCTGGTGTTTTCCATGTCACAAGGCAAATTTATATAAGTGATAGTTGTTAGAGTACCTTTAAGTGGGTCCGGACTGCCGAGTCTAGGTAGCGCCGCTCGGCAACGAACATAAACATTTGCGGGCTGGTTTGCATCTGTGAACTTCAATGTGAACTTGGATTTGCGAATGCATTTGACAGGCACTTACAGTTAATATCACTAACCACCAAATTGTCACAACACAACAAAATCGATTAGTCCCTCAGTACTTACCAGACGAAGCAAAAATATATTACCGAACTCGAAAGTCTAATAACCGAAAATGGCATCTGCATTTGAATCGTCCTTGTCGGCAAGCCTCAGCGGCCGGCAAACGATGTCGGCGACGGCTCCCTCCATGGCAGACTCTCTCCCCAGTATCAATTTCGGCTTCGACGAGCTGCGCGACCGCATGGCCAAGTTCAGCGCGAAATTCGACGCCTTCATCGAGCAGGGGCGAAAGCGCGTCCTCGAAGAGCGCAATCAGTTCCGAATGAACGTTGCCGAATTGCAAGGTGAGCCAATACGCGCCCATAGCATATCACAGTATAGCAAGGAAGACTAACGGGCGCTGCGACGAAACAGAGGACCAGCGCATGAAGAAGAAGGACATGGAAATCCTCCAGCATAAGACCAACACGCACCAGCAGATGATATCAAAAGAAGCCGCCGAGACGCGGGAGATGCAGGCAGCAATCGCCTCGCTAACCGAGCAACGGGACCGAAACAAACGCTCGCGGGACGCCCTGCAGCAGCAGATCGCCGAGACGCAGAAGGAAATCGAAGCGCGGCTGGCGGCGCAGCAGGCGCACGCGCAGTACATAGAATCGCAGTCGCGGTTCAACGTGCCGGAGCTGGACTTCTGGATGCAGAACCTGTGTCTGAAGATCGAGGGGGCGGGGCAGACAGACCGCCTGCGCTTCGTATATACGCATGTCGACGAGAAGGACTGGGATCGCGAGGCCTGGTTCGAACTGAGTACTTCGTCTCGCGACTACGACGTCCGCCATTGCAGGCCGAAGCTCGAGCGCGAGAAGGTCGATCGTGTGCTCGAGAGGGTTAACGAGACGAGGGATTTGGCGGTGCTATTAAAGGGCATGAGGGAGCTGTTTGTTGAGGCCATGCAGTCTTGAAGTCATTGCTCTTCACGTATGGTTTTATTACTTGTGGTGGCGTCTGGAGTCGGATGTTGCGTTAGTTGCGTTAGTTGCTATGGGATCTTGATATGTTGTTGGGTATATTATGTATATTATGACTGGTTACCTAGGCATAAAAAGAATGCCTTACTCTCTTTAACTGGAAAAGGGGTAGTTTATGAATAATGCCTAATGAACACATGTATTTCGAAAGGGATCTAATATGAAGTACCTTTAAGAGCTTCGAAGGTTGTTTGTGGCTTCATGCATTTATCTTGATCATAAAAAGCCAGTTGCGACCAGCTGCAACCAAACAATTACCACTAAATTCCATGTTCGCGACCCCACGCGTCTCCCATCCTCTTACATACATACCTACCTACCTACATACAACTTAACCAATTCGTAGCCATCTTGATATTCTTCTAGACACCATTTTATACTCTACCTCCCAGTCTCTATTAACCACTCTCTTCTCATCAACAAACTCCAAGTGCACGATGCCGCCAGCCGGTCCCGCCAGAGACGACAACGAAAAGCAGCAGGCCGCGCAGCAAGCCGTCGACATCTTGCATGAGATATCCACCATCCTAGTAAGTCGATAAAAATGAACTCCTAGCTTAATACTAACAAACGGATAGAATTGCCATCTCGACCGCCGCACGCTGTCCATCTGCATCTCCATGATCGAGAATGGCGTGAACCCAGAAGCCCTCGCGGTATGTCCGAGAGCCCAGACGAGCTCTTACTGATTGATTTACGTGGTCCTTAACCAGAGAACTAATTTACAATTCATTATATATCTCAGAGCGTGGTCCAATTTCTACGCAAGGAGGCACAAAAGGCAGACTTCGCACAAAGCACTGGCCGATGAAATATGCGATACGACTAGTACGCCCTTTCGGTATCCCGCATAGCCAAGGAGTTCGGAGTTTTACTCATGTTCACTAGCTACACTCATAAACACCATAGAAGCATGGTATATTTATAGAACAATGACGTATTTTTGAGTGTTTTTGTATGCAATGTATACGTAGTCATGAACACTCTCCTGAGGTTCGCGGGCACCCGGGATGGGCGAGACAGAATACCACTTCCTTCCTCTATAACCACCTAATATCTAATATATACCAATTTGCATGCCCAACCGTTGCTGTATACTGGATGCCAACTATTTTTGCCCAAACCCTGCTAGAATTTCGTCATGCGCTCAATGCCCCCGTACCTGAACGCCATCCCAATGTCAATCCTAAGCCACTACGTACGACTCCAATCCGTTATGTTTAGCGGTGCCCAAGCAGCTCGAAGTCATCTATCTCGTCATCGTCTCCTTCGTCCTCCTCATCCTCGTCTTCCGAAGACGATATAGATTCGCCATCGGAATCATCTGCGTCGTCCTCATCATCGTCCGACGTTATACTACGAGGAAGCCGACTCCAAAACCCCAATATATCCTCTCTATCCTCATCATCAGCTTCCACGAGAGAGTGTCCCGCAAGAGCATTCCAAGCCGCTAGACCAGTAGGTGGGGACACAGAGCGCGCGAGTCTACCGGGGCAATCCGACTCTATGATGGATTGGTTGATTGTCGACCGCGCGACAGTAGACGAATGACGCCTCCTTATTTCACGAGCCCGAGCACCATCAACCCCTTCTGCAATACCTCGTAAAGCTGTAAGTTCGGAAAAATCTATTTCCCGCGCAAGCAGGTCAGTTTCGATTGCCTCGTCTGCCATGCCAAGTATCTGAAGTTGTGCGGTATTATAAGAAGCACAGAGGCCACACTTTAAACCTAGCCAATGGTATTTGACTGTGCTCTTGGTAGAACAGTCGTTGCATAGAATCAACGCGCGCGTATCCTGAAACTCGGGTGGCATGGGCTGCGTTTCGATTGCGATATCAAGATTCCGAAATCGCAACTCCATGTTTGCCAAGCTTTTGTTGCATATCGGACATTTATAAGCAACTTTTCTATGTTCATCATGGCACTGACGATGAATACTATGTCCGCATTTCATAAAGCATACGGCCTTGGGAGATGTGAACATATAGTCACCGCAAATAGGACAGTCGCAGTCGATAGACCTCTCGATGCACTTGTGGTCTTTCTCCTGGCCTATGGCGATGCAAGCGCAGCAAGTCTGGTTTAGCTGATCAGCACAAATATAATGTCAACTTGGAACTAGCTATCTCACCTTGCAATGGTAGAAGTCTTTACCGATCCCCCTTCCAATCCTGCAGATGCCACAGTCATTGCAGTGGTAGACAGGCTTGTCCGGATCGTCGTTCCATAATTTGCATATATTGCAGTAATAGCGAGCAGCTGAGATTCCGCACGACATGCAAACATCGTTAGCCCTTTGGGCAGTGCCGCAATACATACACAACATGTTTCTAGTATCTTTTCTGATCAGATTGTGATCCTCTACCTTGTCATGGCAGAAACGACATGTGTACCACCGATTACATGTGGAGCATTGTAGTTTAACATTTCGCCTATAATGCTCGCAACCGAGAGGTCGATCGTCTTCAGGATCTTCTGCATATTCACCAGATTCTTCTGATATTTCCCTCGGTGGCGCAAACGTAGGCTGAAGGTCTTCGGGTGTCAAATCAAATTCCTCTAGTGTTACCGTCTCCTCTGAAGTATTCTGCCAGAACTTGAAGGATTCTAAAGGACCTTGGGATCGTCGTTGGTCTGAAGTTGTGGGGCTAGAGGGTGTTAGGGGTCGTTCTATTAGGGCCACCTTTCTTGACTTCGTGTAGCCTTCTATTAGAAGCTGGTGCATTAAACGGGCTTTCTCGACTGGTTCAACATCCTGTGCTTGGATGGCGAATACACGTTTCCTCAATGAACTCATCCCATCATCCTCTGGTAACGACTTTCTTCGTTCTATCCTCGAAGAAAGATCGGCAGGTGATAACAGTCTATCTGCTGCCATAGTGGAGCTACTTATAGGCGTCGAACTGAGATGTGTGTCGAAATTTTGAATGTCACGGCCGCAGAGATGCGTATCGGGATTGTGGGCGATGGTACGATTTATGGCATTGAACTGGGCGATGTTTTCATCCAGGTCAGCTACTTCATTATGTGGGTTTGGGTGGACGGAGCTCCGTGACGAGGGAGACGACGGTATGCTCTCATCTACTTCGTCGTCCAAGTATGAATCCTCTTCTGTCTCTGATCTAGCATCGTCTTGGCATTCTTTGTGTTCGCTAGGTGTTTCGGCAGGTGAGACGGAGTCGGAAGTGGTATGGTTACCTGATGATCGTGAGAACCGTCTTGCTTGTCGTATGACCGGGTTGACAAGAAAGTCGGTAACGAGCGACGCCATCAGAAAAGGAGACGGAGAATTTAGTTACGAAGACTTGACATTGTCAAAGTCACCGGGACAGGAATAAAGCAAAAAAGCAAAAAAGTAATAATTACAAGTTCTAGGTAAAATAGAGATAGGAAGAGAAAAAAAATTGATGCAAGAGTTGTATGCATAGCAAGATATCCCGTCCGAATGCTTGGGATGAACGGCCTTCTGGGTAAGCCACAGGACGGTATTCGCGACGATTGGATTATTTGAGTGGAAGACAGTGACATCAAAGTGGATCGTTGATCCGATCGAAACATGGCATTAAATCGATTTAACGTTTCCTAGCAGCCCTAGCACAGCGATATACCCCGTTGCATTACCACACTACCGCGTCTATTGAATTAGTATATTTATGTATATTACAGCACGATTTGAGAGCACGTATACACGAAGACTACAATATAAAGGTATATGTAATATCCATGTACCTACCGCGTTAGTATTGGAAAGTACATGTATGTCAGTAACCCGGCCTCGGCAGCGGCTGATAGGACGTCTTGGCATAGTGCATCTTTTTTCATTTTTTTTTTGGGCTACGCAAATGCGCAATCGTGCAGCAACAATCAAAGTAACAAAACACTACCGAGGGATGGATTCTAAGGGATTTCAACAATGGCTGATCTCAAAGTCATCCATGCATACCGTCATCTATATCGCGGGCTCCTTCATGCTGTGCAGTTTTCAAAGCCAGCTCGCTATGTAGCTCGAGACCAACTGAGAGCGGCATTCCGTGAGGAGAGGGCCAAGTTTGATCCTCGAAACACGGCTAGAACCTTGCGTTTTCTCGAAGCTGCTGCTAGGACTCGTGGGTTAGAGCATAATATCCTCAAAAATCTCTTAGTAGTGGCCTACTACCGATACTATGCTTCTCGGATGCCCTGGAAAATGGTCGAGCATTCAATACATGCGCCTAGGTAAAGCTATCCCTCTAGTATTCGTTTTATCGATCGATAGCTAACTAGCTCTTAGGAAACGAACCGAGTTGGAGAGTTTCATTTCAAAAACGGCCTATAAGCATTATGACATGACTATCGCTATGCTTAACAAATCCATGGGTTTGTGCTTACGATAGGATAACGCACGAACATAAACACTTTCTAGCCAGCGGCGCCGGGACCCTCGCACTTAAGTCCAAAATGGACATGAGGCCTCCGCGCCAATCTAAACAATAAGTATGTCACATTTGATGTGCGCCCCTCACGAAGAGCATCCGGCCTACACCACGAAAACGTGGCTGTAGTCGATTTAGGGGCAGACTTCGATGGGTTGCATGCAGAAGCTTAAAGTGCTCCGAATTCAAGGGCCTGAGTCAGGGTCCTCATCACGCGGATATAGTGAACAGACAACGAAACGAACCACGAAATTTCCGAGCTTAAATATAATGGCTTTTCATGCTCGAGGCAATTGGCTTTGTATGCTGGTTAAATAGCATGCTATCCCGGTGGAGGATATGGACTTGGATCTTTCGCATTCATTAAGGTGGTAACTCCAACTTTCCCGATTTGTTGACCAACCATCTATCAGCTATTTCGAACCTGCATAGGACAGCTGCCTAGTAGAGGAAGAGGCGTATCGGGGTAAAAGGTAGTCGAGGTCATAGCGGGCGATCAACTGAATTCGTACGGATAAGACAAAGAGCTGCGGACATGAAGAAGAAGAAGAATATCGTCATTGGCAGTGCGTATTACACATGTATATACATGGCCATACGTGTAGTTGTACATTTAGTACATAGTGCATGTAAGTGACTGATTTAATGGATTAGTGGAGAATTATAGGTATTCCAAGCACTCGAAGCTTGCTACACTAGGTACTAGGTAGGTATGTTGGACCACTATCTTCTATGTAACTGGTGACTTCAACAACCGTCCACTCTCAGTCGATTTCCCCTCCTCTAACCGTTCTTTTACTGCACTAGCTTGTTTTAGTATTTAAGTTACGTATCCACACATCATGCCCGGCATGGGGTCTATAAGAAGTACCTTGTAGTTGTACATACATACCTACCCCCTACCTACCCTCTTTCCCCCCCCCCCTCCCCCAATGGCCCTAGCCTCTATTTCAACTTTTTGTTCCCGCCCAGCTTCTCAATCCCATCCATACAATCTACAACTACGTAAACTTCCGGGGTCCAATATCATCCTTTGTATGATTGCGCAAACCCCGCAGAAAAGCAGACTTTGGACAAATCTTAGCTTCCTCAAGCTCAATTGGCCCGTTTGCAGTACGTAGACGGCAGTCAGCTCTACTTCTATACACATCATACACATTATCTCCGTGTCGTGTGTAGATGAAATACAATACTTCTACAATATTTTAGCATTTGTCTTTAGCAATTTGTCTATAGACAACAACTTTAAACTAAAACTCATACCTTTCAATCTTCCTTTTCTCTGCGATCGACCCCTTCGACCCCGCATCCCAAAAACCCATCGAGTCCTCGTAGTTCGGGATCTTGATGGCATATCTCTTGCTAGCAGGAGACGCTATTGTATCGCGACCACGCCGATGACTCTGGTCCTCATTACGAGGCCATTGTCTGAAGCTTCCCCGCAATACAGCTTCTGCTGCTAAACAAGCGAGCCATGCCAGCTGAGTCCAATTTCCAAGATGTCACCAGCTCCACGATCCGGACTCGGACCATGCCTCAGCTCAGTAGCGGAAGTGAGAAACCACGAAGGTGGATAAAACGTTACCGAACGGAGACGGCTGCGAGCATCTCCAGTGTTATGTCGACTGTCACTGCTTTTCCTCTCGATAGTGTGAAGACTCGTTTGCAGACATATCCCTATGCCGGTGCTTTGGATTGTGTACGCGTCACGTACAATTCGGAGGGTATTCGAGGTTTCTTTCGAGGTATGTGACTCGAGATCGGGCGTACCACGAAGCTCGTAGTCGTCCTTCCGCCAACGACGATATAGCTAACGCCACGCTGCCATGTAGGTGTAACTGCTCCCCTAGCCAGTGTTACTCTTGTGCGAACCATATCTTTCTCCATCTACCAACACTCTAAATACGTTTATTCCGACTGGATGAAGAAGCACGTCGGCTTCTGTCCTCTCGAACATGTCAATAAGAATGGCGCATACCCGAATTTGGGTACTATTGCTTGCTTCGGGGCTGCTGGAGCCACAGCTGGCTCTGGCATCACATTTATTGCATGTAAGACAACCCAGTAACTCTAGAGATACGACTCGAACTAGAACTGACGGACGCAAAACCAGGTCCTTTCGAGTTAACTAAACTCAGCGCTCAAGTGTCAGTTCTCATGGCGAAGCAGAAGAACGCAGATCCGCAGCGGCAAGCCATTGCTCTCAGTTATCATAATAAAGGAACCTTCAAGACTCTTGCCAACATAGTTAAGCATAGAGGCTTTAGTGGAATGTACACCGGATTAAACCTACATTTATGTAAGACGGCTCCCATTAAAGAATAATCCGCACCACCAGTTAACACAGCTACAGTGAGAGATACCCTCGGAACGGGAATCTATTTTGCTACATATGAAAGCAGCAAGCAGCTGTTAACGACCTTTAGCGGAAAGGATGCACATAAGAATCCTGTTGCCGTCCTTGCCGCTGGAGCTCTGTGCGGCATAGTATCGTGGGCTTTGATTTGTGTGTACCCCCTACGTCAGTTTGAATTTCAAACTAACTCCTTCCTAGACCCCATCGATTCCGTGAAGAGCATCTACCAGCGGAATGCACTGATGTATTCCAAGGGCCAGAAAGTGCCCGTCCCGAAGATACAGTTTTTCAGACGAGACATGTATCGCGGACTTGGCGTGTCTATGGGCCGATCTGCGGCCGTCAATGCAGTGTTCTTTTCAGCGTTTGAATTCTTCAAAAAGCGAATCAACGCTCTCAAGGAATAGGTACTCGTGACGGGTTAATTAGCTATCGTACGATGCTTTAGTACGATAACATATACTTGATGTAGCGTTGGTAAGGGTCATGCAACAGCCTAGATTAGCACGGTAACCTGAAAAGGGGACAGCTAGGCAACATATTTGGCGGACAAATCTTACAACAAGTCCGGGGAACTATGACTGGAATAGCACATTATTTCCAAAGGGACACGCAGGACGATATTAGCATGTATAAATCAATAAATGCACGTTATCCATGCCACGACAGAATCAAAGTGATATGATGCTCCCTCGGATCGGATACCCCTGCCACGCATAACTCCGGCACGACTCACAGCCAATAGTATACAAGTGCAACTGCAACGGCCGAATGGTAATCATTCCATATGACAGCATCACAGCCCGTGCTGCGAGCAGCGAATTACCCTTTAATCTATCCTTAGCAAAGCAACCTTGTAGTCTGATGTTCCCCCTAAACGCCAAACCCGAAAAGATGCAACATGACTATTCTACCTTCGCGCAAGCATCATCATCGACGCATCTACCCATCAGTCATTATCTCCTAAAGCTCGTCGAGACTTGGAACCAACTCAATCGCTACGCAGCATGCTCTCGACGAGGTCGCCGAGGGGCCCCCAGAAGTCCTTGCCGGTGGCGAGGTTATGCTCGTCGATGAAGAGGACGTACTGCTTGAAGGAGGTGTTGAGGTGAGGCTCGAGGCCGAGCTCGCGGATGACGGGGTAGTGGTGGCAGTAGATGTGGGCGTAGACGCGGTACATGCGCTTGAAGATCTGGCGGACGAGGGCGGGGAAGGACTTGGGGAAGGGGACGCCGATGCGGGAGGGCAGGACGGACTCGTTGTCGATGGAGGCCTGGACCCACGACATGAGCTGCTCGATGTAGTCCGGGGCGGCCATCTTGGTGGGCCGCTTGTACGTCTCGCCGTCCTGCCACAGGTACTCGAACTCGTCGGTCGCTTTCATCTCCGGGCACGACTGCGGCGAGCAGAACTCGGTGATGGCGCCGTACAGGAGGTTCACCTGGTTGTAGAAGTCGACCATGTTCACCGCCAGCCACTCGTTCTCGTCTTCGCCTTCCGGCAGCTTGACGACCTTGCGCAGGCTGCCGCCGCCGAGGGTCGCTTCGGCGTATTGGCGCAGCTGGTAGCTTGTGTTGCCGCCCTTGCCGCCGCGGGCGCGGAATTGGTTGCGCGCGCGCTGGTTTCTGTGTTTTGGTTTTGTTTTGGTTAGTGGGGAGGGTGTTGATTAGGTATATATATATATATATTATAAGTGGGTTATTTTGGCATCGACTTACACGGTGGTGACGAAGGAAGTCATCTTCTCCCCGATAATTCGCAGGGGGGAATTCGAGCTTGGTGGTTCTATCGACTGCGCCATTACGGTGGTGTTAGCGGGGCTGGGATTCGGTCGTGCGGTAGATAACACGAGGGACGTGGTAAACAAACGTGTGGACTTACCTTGCTATATGGTGTTAATCAGGGCTTGGTTCGAAGTGCGGCGTAGTACGGTGACTATGGATAAGAGCACGGCAGCTGGTTGTTGAGTAATTGTATGTGTGTGTGTGTGTCTGTTGTAACGGTAAAGTTGTGTCCGACGATGGCATTGATATATGTATAAGGTAGGTAGGTAGGTACCTAGGTTAGGTTAGGTATGTAAATGAATTGGGATGTTTTGCTTGGTTGCTATGCTGTGCACGGACCATTTAAATGCCGGCGGGCAGGCACTCGTCCCCTCGTCCCCTCCACATTGATCTGACGCAGGGGTTCCCTGCTGTCGCCCGCTTCCTGGGTAAACGCTTTTCTTCAAATCTTCTGACCTCATCTTACTTTAATTTTCTTACTTTAATTTTTCATTGCATTATCAAAGCTTAGGATCCCTACTAGGCATGGTAGCTTCAATTTAGGGATTCTTTGAAGTACCACAGAAGCAAAAAAGAGGCCCGTCTCTTACATCAATTCGACATCCTACACCACATTTCTTGTTTAATAAAATATCTAAAGTTCGTGTTCGAGACCATCTTCTATTCATTTCAATGGACTGGTTGACTATCTGTATTGGTGAGATCGTAGTTTTCAAAGCCTACTTCTTATATTACAAAATTGCAGCTCTGCTCTCCAAATAGCAAAGGCCAAGGGCTTTTTGACACTTGCCCATACATTTCTCGTTCACGTATACGACAGTCTGCCATCGGGCTATTAACTCACCGAAAACCCACGAGAACTAGTTAAGCTAGACCCCGCAAAGGGGAATCCCTCGTGCTTCTCCAGGTTTTAGAGAGATCCGGGTAATTGGAGTCTCCACCAGTGGTTGCAGTCGAGCTCTTTTCAAGCCTTAGTACGGTGTTATTGAGTTATTGATAGTTATGCTATAATTTATGTACTATATTTAGTGACAGCATGGTATGATGGGTACATCTAACTATAAGTATATATGTATAGATTCTTGTTTCTATAATAATTGTTCTCGTCGTGCATTGTAACGATGTTAAGACAGATCTTTACACTCTTGCTAGTAGCCCTCCAGGGCCTACCAGCTACTTGCGAGATTAACAGACGTAAAGTTGTTCGATCGTTCAATCCTCATCGCAATGCTAGCTCTAAGACTACTCCGTTGCAAGTTGGGAATGGCAACTTCGCGTTTGGGGCGGACGTAACGGGTCTTCAGACTTTCAGCCCCTTCGCGACAATGTCTACTTGGGGTTGGCATAACTTCAGTCTTCCAACCACCACTGGCCAGACCTCGATAGATGGTAAGTACCAAGCCAACCCCAAGACGAAAACTCTACTCTAATGTGATCTAGACTTCACGGGCGTGGACTGGTATACCCATGGTCGACTAGTCAATTACAACCAGCCCAACCCAGCACAGAGTGAAATATCCAACTGGTTAATACAAAATCCCCAACGTATTAACTTAGGGACGATTGGGCTCTGGTTTGGTGGAGATAATGTGACCGAGGAGCTGCTAGAAGACAAGTCTCAGATACTCGACCTCTGGACGGGGAAAATATCATCTTCTTTCACTTACAACAAGGCCCCTGTTGAGGTCGAGACATGGGCAGATACAAGTTCCGACACAGTCAGCATTTCCATAAAGTCGGAACTCTTCTGTACAGAATCTGTGGGCATATTCTTCGACTTTCCTCTACCGACGCGGAACAAATTTGACGCCCCTTTTGTTGGTGTTTTCAACGCTACCGATCAGCACACTACCACACTACAGCACGGGAAAAACACAGCAACTATTCGGCATGATATCGATGATGCCTCGTACTATGTTTCGATATCGTGGGATTCTCCTGCTGAAATTTCCGGGCCGATTAAGGGGACTCATCGTTACGTGCTATATCCATCACGGGAAACTAAGAGGGTTAAGTTATCGGTAGCCTTTTCTCTGGCTCCGAGTACGCATATACCGTCTTTCGGTCATGTTGCGTCTGCATCTACATCTTGGTGGGAGTCTTTCTGGAACTCTGGTGCTTTCATTGATTTGACAGGAGTCAAGTCTCCCAATGCCATAGAATTGCAACGGAGAACGATATTATCCCAATATCTTACAGCTGTTAACTCGGCTTCCTCATATCCATCACAGGGTAAGTGTCTCATGCCCAAGCATTACTTTCGCTAACTTTGGAACAGAATCTGGTAAGAGAAGTTTAATTCTCCTTATGTTCCCTCCGTAATAGATAATGACTTTTTCATACTAATAGTTTAAGGCTTGGTAAATAACGGATGGTATGGCAAGTTTCATGTGAGTCTTGTGAACTATTGTAACCTACGTGAAGAACGACCTGGTCATATTAAGCACTGACTCTCCTGAACAGCTCGAGATGATATTGTGGCATCTCCTCCACTTTGCTCGATGGAATCAATTTCCATTGCTATGGCGTAGCCTCCCGACCATGTATTCCGAATACTTGGGCTCCTCAATAGAGCGAGCGACACTCCAGTACTACGACGGTGCTCGCTGGGGCAAGATGACCGATCCTACCGGAAGGTCAGCCCCCGGAGAAATCAACTCGCTGCTTATCTGGCAGCAGCCTCATCCGATGTACTTTGCCGAGATCGAGTACAGGTCTTTCCCCAACGAGACAACACTAAAGTCCTGGGACAAGATTCTCACTTCTACTGCTGACTTTATGGCATCATACGCCTTCTTCAACGAATCAACTGCCCTCTGCGATCTAGGACCGCCTATGTATCCGGCCTCAGAGAACACAAACCCCAATGCGACGATCAACCCTGCGTTCGAGCTGGCCTACTGGCGGTTCGGTCTGGACGTCGCTATCAAGTGGAAACAAAGACAGAACCAAACAGTACCTCGTAAATGGATCGATATACGAAACAATCTAGCACCATTACCTATCGCGGATGACGCATTCGCCGTATACGAGGGTATTCCGAATATGTGGAACGACACCACCGTCCAAGACCATCCGGCACTGTCTGCAATATTTGGCCTGCTCCCCCCGCCGAGCAGCGGGCCACCTCTAAACATGACAATCGTGAAGAACACGGCAGATAAAATTCGGGATCTCTGGGACTTGAAGGATTGCTGGGGTTGGGATTTTCCGATGCTGGCTAGTAAGTTACCCTAAGCTAGGCCCTCATATCATCTTCAGGACGCTTATTTAAACCAACATAGTGAACTCTCTTCGCCTCGGGGACATTGATCAGGCCGTGGCGTATCTACTCCACCCCCTTTTCGAATTCGACGATGCGGGGTATCCCGTTGGAGGATCGCGGGTGCCGACCCCCTATTTTCCGGGGTCGAGTTCGTTCTTGTTGGCTATGGCTATGATGGCGGGGGGATGGGATGGTGAGCCTGGGATGCATTTTCCCGAGAGTTGGGATGTCCAAGCTGAGGGTTTTGTCCCTGGTCTATGATTATTGGGGTAGCTGAAAAGGGGTCGTGTAGGTTTATATCCTACGAATCAATGTCTTTTAAGATAGATCTACATGGGTTTGTTCCCCTATTATATAGGTAGATTATATTGGGTGAGTGTATATGAATGACATTCCTGTGTACCTAGTTTGACACCACTCCGAGATCGTGGTTGCAATGCCCAATAGAGGTAGCCATGGAGCCCCAAAAGCCCGCCCCCAACGTGGTCAGACGGCCAATATTTCTTGCAGGCAGACTGCTAGGCTTATCATAGTGAATAGTTAGGTACCTACTTGATATCCAATAACAAGCTTGCGCAACACTACCTAATAAATAGCGACGATTCGCTCAACGATACAGTGGCTGTGACAGCGAAGCAGGCTCTGAGGCTGTGCTTGAGCATACCCCATCTTGACCAGTTTCTATTTCAACCTTCAACCTTCCACCTCCATTCCACACCAGTCTTCAATAACCTCATCGTCCACTCGCATCTAGCACGCTAAGGTTGTTGGCGACATGGACCCATTCGCGGCAATTGGCCTCGCAGGCAACATTATCACTTTTGTAGAGTTTGGGTTCAAACTAATTTCCCTGTCCAAGAACATCTACGAGTCAAAGTCAGGTGCCAGTGAGGATAACAAAAATTTATCTTCTATGACGGGACGGCTCCAACAACTCACTGCCGAGTTGAAAGGGGCCAAACAAATTGGTTCTTCACGGCAGAATAGCCCTCTTTATGATGTCGCTACTGAATGCGAAGTTGCGTCGGTGGAGCTTATGAAGTTGCTCGATCAGCTGAAGGCTAAAGACCCAAATTCTAGACGACATGCGTTTAAAGCTGCAATACATAACTGGCGGAAGAGCGACCAGAAGTCCGAATTGGAAAAGAGATTGGATCGTTGTAAACAGCAGCTAGGCTTGGAACTTCTCAGTTCGATAAAGTAAGAGGAACCTTCAACAAACATCATAGATTTCTGACCGATGTAACGTAGATCCGACTCGCTAGAACGCCTCGACAGGCTTCTCAAAAGCGGCCAAGCTAGTAAAGATGAGTTACAGTCGCTTAGTAGGAACATCGAAGCTCTACGTCAAGGTACCAACGTCTCTTGCCTTAGTACCGAAGCACTGGGCCAGATCCGGTCATTGGTTCAACTAAGCGATGAGGCTATCTTGAAAACACGCCAGGCTAGGGTTCTAGACGCACTACGCTTTCAACTGATGAACGAAAGATTCGAAGATATCGAAGAAGCTCATGAGAGAACCTTCGACTGGATTTTCGACATTAGTGCCACTGATGTAGTTAAAGACGACAATACTGAACCCGAAATGAGTGATGACGATGACGAATACCCAGAAGACCACAGTGATCACGAGATTAATAATGAAAGTCATCGAAGTCCGAGCTATACCTCACAACGGTCAAATAAAGCTAGCAAAGCGGGTTCTATCAGGTCAACTCTTAGTAGCGATATCACAAGACCGGTATACACTACCAAAGAGAGTGGCCATGATTCTTCCTCTGTCACTCACGATCTAGAAGAGCAACTAAGTGATAGCTCGAGCCTTAGTTGGGGCATGGAAGACGATAGGTTGTCCATAGCGGAGAGTGAAAACTCCGTCAAACTTTTAGAAAGACCTCGGTATGCTTCAAAACCATTACTACCCGTTATTTCAAGCGTAGAGGAAATGCCTGAATCAACATGTCAGGTCATGACCGAAGCCAGGGATAACTTTATTACTTGGCTCAAAAAGGGCACAGGAATATTTCACATCTCGGGCAAGCCAGGTTCTGGGAAATCGACACTAATGAAGTACCTTGTTCGGCATCTCAAAACAAAGGACTACCTAGAAATGTGGGCAGACAAGAAGAAGCTCGTGCTGGGTAGATTCTTTTTTTGGAAGCCAGGGTCTGCTCTGCAGAAAAATACCAATGGCTTGATTCGAGGGTTACTGCATTGCCTCCTCTCAGAATGTCCTGAACTTGTGCGCCTCGCATTCCCAGAGCAGTGGGAAGAATCAATGCATAGAGAAAACGTTCACGTTGAACATTGTGAATGCCGGCAAGCATTCGAGAGGCTCATGGAAAACCAGACTTATGGACAGCATAAGTTTGTACTTTTTATAGATGGCCTCGACGAGTTCGAAGGGCACCATGCAGACTTGACCAAGCAACTAGTTAGATGGAGTAACGGAACACAGGACATAAAGCTCTGCATTTCAAGCCGGGAATGGCCGATATTCCAGGATGCTTTTAAGAATTGTCCTAGAATCCGACTGCACGACATTACAAGGTCTGATATCCAGCGATTCGTCAGAGACCGACTTCGCGAGATGAATCTCGATGCCTTAGTGAGAAATAGTGACAGCTTGAATAATGATGACGAATTATCAAACACATGCGAGACCATGGATTTGGAAGGCGACATTGTTAGGGATTCAGACGGCGTCTTCTTATGGGTATCTCTTGTTCTTCGGCATATCGAAAATGGAATTGCGGATGGTGACCGGATACAAGACCTCATAAGGCTTGTCAGGTCTCTTCCCACTGACCTTGAGCCTAGTAAGTACCAGCTTTATGAAACATGATTATATTACTATTATTATCATGGTGGCTAATATTAGCACTTTCACTCCAGTGCTTAAACAACTCTTGGACTCGATTCCTACCAATAACCGAAGACTAGCATATAGCATGCTCTCTCTGGCTTCCTTCGTCACTACACATGGTAACCAAATCTGCCTAATGCAATACTCGTTCCTAGAAGAATATATCGAGAACCGGAACTTTGCAATAGACTGGCCTGTTAGACTATTCACGACTTCGGAGCACGGAGAAAGATTAGAAAGAAGCAAAAGACGAGTATATGGTGTATGCAAAGGACTTCTCGAACTACGTGAACCTCCCGCTAAGACTACATACCCGAACATGCTGGGGGATGTGGTTCGCCTTATACATCGGTCTATCGCAGAGTTCCTAGAAAGCCAACATTTTAAGGCCGAGACGGAGTCTGTACTGAAAGAATTTGATCCTTTTGACGCATTTTGCCAGACATATTTGGGCCAGCTGAAGCGTATCCGTCTCCCTATGGCCTATTTCTCTCCCAAGTTATTCTCTCTTCAAAGGTCCATAAGCTGGGGCAATGTTATCGAGGATAGTGCAGGTTTCTTTTATTACCCTTCCCACCCAACTTTTCAACAAGATATCCTATGGATTGTTTGCCGACAAAACAATCGTGAGCAACACCGGGCTCGTCCGCGCTTTAGTCAATTCTTGGACCACACCTGCCGCACAGTAGCTAGCTTGAGAACCCGCCCTTGTATGCTTCGTACCATTTATGATAACAGGGTAATTCAATATCCCCCTGAAAATGTCATCATTATAATTTGCATACTGATTGGAATCTACGAAAACCTTCCCTTAGAGGCAGACACAGACTCCGAAATGATAGACTTATGTGCTTCCTGGTGTTTATTTGATATTGGACAAAGCCAGCTTATGAGCCCACATATTATACCATCCAAAGCCATTAGAGTACTTCAGACCTTCCTTGACCGAGGTGCTTCACCCGATTCTGTGATGGGACATAATATTACTGCGCCCGAGTTTCACCATATTCTTAAAGATTGGTGCATTTTATATACACCAAGTCTGGCTGTCGTCGCATTGATGCTCTATCATGGTGTAAACCCAAGGTTTGCTATCGTGATAAGTAGAGGTATCTATCAACCGCGCGACTTAGGAAGTTGCATTTTAAAGGCACGCTTCAGATCAGAATGCCCGTCAATACAGAAAGGAAACGAAGCAAGGAAGATACAACTAGGAAGAGATATGCCATTTTTGACAATCGAGGCATCCCCACAAACACTTAGAATGATCAGCAATCACGGTTGTGATATTGACTTAAGAGCGTTGGTTTCAGTTTGGTTCCCAGATCAAAGCCATATCTTGCAACCCGCCATAGACTATATTCTAGAATTAGGCGTCCTCACAAACGCGCACCATCGTTCAGAGTTACAATCCCGATTTGGACCGCTTCTTCGCCCACTGTTCGATCAAGATCATCCGCATTTTGTTGGAGAGGTGCTGCCTCGGACCGAATGGCCACAAGAGAGCATTCATTGGGATTACCATGAACTTGACTCCTACAGACTATCAAAGATAGAAGAGGCACAGTGGTGGAAACAATTGGAGGTGGAAGAATCAACCGCTACTTCTGTCTACGATGACGGTGATGATGATGACGATGATGGGGATGATTAGAACGTTTACGTCTATTAGGGCTATGGCTAGGTAGGCAGCTACAACGCCAGATAGCCAACTTTGGTTGATCGCAGTGGGATTCGAACCCACTTACTACTACCGCTGTCTAGGCTGGGGTGGGTGTAGTTACTTTCTCGACTTTCTGCAGAGCAGCTAGAGGAGTGATTCGATAGAAAATTTCATGACTCTTGCCGTCTCTCTATAGACAACACAAGACATAGACGATGAGCCGTATGATTGTTTTTTTTCCTAGCATGTTCTGTCGTCTATACAAGTTGTGTAAACCCTGATACCAAATTGAGAGTAAATTAGACATAACAAACTCCGTTCCATTGAATTGCTGCGCTGTTTATACCGTAAAACTCCAAACATTATTCAGACATTATTCTGCTTGGGCTTGAAACACCACCCGAACCATCCTACAGAGATAAGGTAAACCTCTTCAGATACCTGTAAAGTAATTCAGGTGGTTCGAAGCTTGTTCATCTTAAGCATGCAACAACTAATATAGTTGCCTATAACCGAGGCGGGTGCTCTCGTAAGTTAACGATCATACGTCGGGATATATTGTCGTCGATAATGTTCGCCTGGTTGCCAGAGAAGGAGTTTGGCATGGACGGAGAGGATGTCCCGGCCCTGCCTCTCTCTTGCAGCCTGAAATTCATGAGCCACCTAACATGCATCCCGAGCACGCCCATGGTGCTCCGGATCTCAGTAAGCTGGTCTTTGATCTGCGAGCTCTCGTTGAAAAGCATCATCGAATGTCGCCCCTCGACTTCATTGAGCGCGGTAGAAAGGCGCTCAACCTTAGACTCCATGGCCTCGAACAGGGATAAGAAATACTGATCTCGAGACTCGTAAGGTGCGCTGTCCTCATGGGTTGAGCTGTTCTCTGGTAAATTGATATCCGACATGGGCTCTGGCGAGGTCGGTGTCGGCAGCGGAAATCCTCGGTTCTCGAGGAACTTGATCCGTCGATCTTTTAGTCGATCCCTCTCTTGGAGAGTGGTAAGCTCGGCTCGAAGTTCGGCCAGCTGCTCTCCTACGGGTCCAACAACTCGATAAGCACACCTCAATGCGTGCTCCTCCAGCTGCCAGCGCTTGACAAGTTTCTCACAGCCAAATAAGGCAAACTTGCAGCTGGTTTGGGCCTCGGGGCACTCTTTTAAATGTTCCTCCTGCTTGTGCCGTACATACTCAATACTACACAATTCACATTCCGTCTTCCGATTCGGACATTCGGTGTCCTGGTGTTCTTCTATATCCGCTTTCTGCCTTACTTGCTCGCAGTATTCGCATTTAACATCGTAGTGGAGACATCCTTTCCCGATATCCTTTCGGATTACCGACTTATTGCAAGACGGGTGCGGGCATGGTACAAGTGTCTTATCACAATACCGCGCAACGTGATTTTCGACTAACGATCGAGAAACTATAAGAGCACAGCCGCGGGAACTATTCGGGCACTTAACGGATAGATTATCAAGCTGGTTATGGACAATCTTAGGCGCGGGTCGTGTCTCGGACACGAGCTTTAAAGGAAGCCGGTCGACGGGGCAGACGGGGTTTAGAGCGTGGGCTTGAACGATGCATCTATGGCAGAAGACATGGTCACAATTTGTGATAACCGGAGATATGAATGGGACTCGGCATATGGGACATATGAGGTTCTCGTCAACGCTATCTTCGTATTCAAGGGCTCGGAGATCTAGGGAAGTGGCGGTAGGATCACTACCCATCAAAGGTCGGAGAGCGAGGGTTGCGGTGGTAGCTATTAGCCCTTCTTCCGGAGTGTTGGGCGGTGGCATATTCGAGTATAATATGTTTTCATGGGGTTTATGGGGTTTATGGGGTTTATGGGAGTGCTAAGTCCCGCGGACTTGGACAGCATTGAAACAATGGCATTGGTCAAGGTTAATAAACTTGAACTCAACAACGGGGGGCGGGAGGCGGGAGGCGGTAGGCGGGAGTCCGGACCTGTTTGTTGTCGGTGTCTTACGACAAGTTGGAGGGGCGATGATGGATAAATACATATATCTCTTCGTAAAGTCTGTGGCTGAATTGTAGTTTTGTGGTTTTAGCTGATAACTGCATAATACTAAGACGTCACATCCATTATCCCGGTATCTAGGTAGTACGGTGTAACTCTGCTTCCATACCTATCATTACCGTACCTCGAATAACTGGTAAATATGCATAACCGCCTCACAATATGGATATCACACTAATTATCATTATCATGATAATATTTTAGACTGTCCCATTTCCTAATAAATAATATGTGCCTACCTATATACATATTGTCGGGCCGCGGCAAGTAGCTCTTATCGTAATATTCTTATCATACCTATAACCCTTGTAAAAGTAAAAATCAAAAAAAGCAAGTATCATACGGCGTAAGACGTCAATATATTACCGAATATATTTCCTCGGTGTTCAGCTCTAATGCAGCTGGAACCACTCAACAAATTTCCCACAAAAAAGTCTAGGTTAAATAACACTTCACCATCATCCTTACCGGCCTAACTAAACCCGCCCGGTCTCCAACGCCTTCTTTTAGGAGTTATATACCGTCTCTGCTAGTTCAATTGAACCGGATTTTGGCTTCGTGGTCGTCTGTTACAACATGGGAGGCCTGTCGCTAAAAGTCACCAACCGGTCACGGAAGGGCCTTAAGGGACTGCCCCCCTCCGTTGAGCTGGCCGAAGATGCTACCGTCGAAGATGCAAAGAAGGCTATTGCGCGCGCCGCTAGGGTCTCGGACTTCAACCGCATTGGCATCTTCGACCCTGTCTCTAAGAAGACTCTTAAGGATAGGAAAGCTCTGCTACGAGAACAGTCCGAGGTTGTGAAGCATGGGGAACTGCTCGTCAAGGACCTTGGTATGGCCCTCTCCTCTGCGCCAGCCTATATAAAATAAATACTGACCGAATTGAACAGGTGCCCAGATTAGCTGGCGACTAGTCTACGTGATCGAGTACCTCGGACCCCTACTCTTCCACCCTCTCTTCCTAGGCCTGCGAAACCACCTATACCCAGCCGTATACCCTCTGCTCAAGAACCATCTCCCCTACGGTATCCGGTCCGACGGGCAGCTCTCGTTTGCGCAGCAGGCCGCCTTCGCCATGATCACGGCGCACTTCGTCAAGCGCGAGCTCGAGACCATATTCCTGCACAAGTTCTCCGCCAACACCATGCCCTTCGCCTACGTTTTCCGCAACTCCTTCTTCTACTGGACTTTCGCCGGTCTCCTCGGCGCCCTCGAGGTCTACGCGCCCTTCTCGCCTGCTGCTCTTTCCCCTGACGTCCCGACCCCTCTTACTTACCTCGGAATCGCCCTCTATTTTATCGGCGAAATTGGTAACTTCGACGTCCACTACTACCTAGCGCACCTGCGCAAGCCCGGTGAAACAGCCAGGAAGATCCCCAGCGGCCACAGCTTTGGCCTTGTGACTTGTCCCAACTATATGTTTGAGATCATAGCTTGGATCGGTATCATTCTGGTTACCCGCAGCCCATCTCTACTGCTTTTCATCTTCATCGGCTCCTATTTCATGTATACCTGGGCATGGGGCAAGGAAAAGGCCTACCGCAAGCAGTTTGGCGACAAGTATAAGAAGAAGCGCAGCGTCATTCTCCCGGGCCTCCTATAAACTTGTTAGGTTTGGAACCCTTCGCGACGAACATAACGATTAGGAAGATATATTTAACCTCGCATGACCTGGTAGATGTACTCTTAGAGATGGAAACAAATTTATGGGAACGATGTAAACGAGACTTGGATGGTTAGAAACATTTGAGGGTAGATAGAGTTGTAGCAAACTTAAGGTACCTATAAATCGTAGCTGACTGATATACATAATTAATGCAATATTAAATGTCAATTTTCTCAACTGTATATGAGCGTCCACTCGTCTCATAAGGCAAACTATACTTAGTGTAAGACTGACTCTCCATTCGAATCTCTAACTTATTGAATGACATGTCCCCTCAAGCAAACCATAGTTGTCCGTAATATATTTCCTAACTATAAACTCCTATTAGGCCTTAAGCCCCAAGTCTGGTATCATGCCCACAATCCAATTCTCTAATGAAAGGTTGATAGTTCACACCAACATCATGTTACTGTTGGAGAACTCGGATTCTTATCCTCAGCTGCATCATTTTCTCGACTTTCTGATAGTGTCCTACTAGATGGTAGCGATAGCTCACTAGGTCCAGTTTCGGGGATATTGCCAGGCGAATTCTCAACCTCTGTCCTACTGCCCTCAGTAGCTGGTTCCTTACCTTTAATCGAGCTCTCATGCGTGTCAAACGGAACCGGACCCAGCGATAGAGTATCCAGGGACTCGTGCATGGCCGTAGCCATAGCTTCACTAATACTCGCAGCGACTTCCCTGTCCACGGTAACATGTACATCACCCCTTCCAGAAAAGGCGCCGCTTCTAGTGCCACTATCTGTGGTGGTATGACCATTCAATTCATGTTCTTCGGGTTTCTTACCATTAACATCAGCGTCGCCCGTCACACTTCCTCGGCGGCTTCCCGCCCTACTATCATCAGCGCTGTAGCTCCCTGACCAACTACTTCTGCTACACTCACTGCAGCTATCGCTCCCGCTACCATTTTTCACCAGGCGTGCGGTCTCCTCTAGGATTAGGAAGTCCCTTTCCAAGACCTCGGCCCAATTTTGCACGTTGCCCAGCTCCTTGATCTTACGCTCTGTGTCGCGGGCTAGTTTCTCGAGCTTGTCGTTTTCTTTCCGTAGCGCCTCGGTTCCTTTTATCACGTCCTTCTCTTGCTTAGTTAATGCCGCGGCATTTGAATGGAGTAGCGAGGCGCGCGATTGCAGTTCAGAGTCTAGCATGTTCGACATAGAAGCCACAAGAGCAGCACGTGCTTCGTTGATGTGCAGCTGTGTCGTGCGGGACGGCAGAGTTGGGTTCGGATCCATCGTGACGCGGGGCTGAGCTCCAATGGCAGAGGATGCGGTAATAGTTGTAGGGGGCGTTGTAGTGCTCCGAGATGCTGAGGCGGGGTTAGATGGTCGCAGACGCGGCGCGGTAGAATGAGAAGATGGCGAGAGTAGTGGCGCGCTCACGGCGTTAGACGACCCAGCCGTATTATTCGGAGCTGGAGTTGACGATATATTGGCCGGAGCCCCGGGGACGGAGGGGTTAGAATGCGGAGGATATACTGATGAACTCGGGGCTGACATTATGAAACGGTGCTCCTCAGAAATTCAATGGTATTGTATCTTGGCAATAGCAAAACATAGAATTGTAACCCTTCAGAGAATTCGTACTAAAGAATTGGATATTGGTATAATTGGATAAGGAGGAGCTTTGCTTCAGAGCTGCGAGCTGATGTTAAACATGCGGGGTCGCGATCGAGCCGATTGGAGGGATGTAACATGGCATGCGTAAGGTGCCTTAGGGTGCTAACAGCATTAGTATACTGGTTTGCTTCTATCCAAACATCGATGTAGTTCTCACACTACGAATCGGACCTTTTCCGCCAACGAAGGCTCTTTATGCATTACTCGTCCCAATCTACTTCATACATCCCTTCCTCTCTCTGCGTGCTGACCCACTCCTCACTTGCCAGTCCCCTGAGGAAACGCCGCTGAAGATCGGCGCTGTCTTTATGCCAGTCGCATGCATAATCACATGCCGGGGTGACATTTTCTCCGAAATATTTGCAGATGAGCTTATGGCGGCAAGCATTTGTGCTCTCACAGTATTGGGCTAGAGCCTGTAGGCTTCTAGCGCGTGCCTCGAAATTGGAATTCGAAACCGAATTGCGATCTCGCACGATCAGGCTGCTGACTCGGTCCCTATCTTCACGGCTGTAGTAGAGAAAGCAGTACGCCGCGTTACCATCACGCCCAGCTCGTCCAGCTTCTTGATAGTATCCCTCGAAGGATTTAGGGAGCCTCCAATGAACAACAAAACGGACATTGTTCTTGTCAATACCCATACCGAACGCGGTTGTAGCTACGATTATGTCATAGCCAGGTTCGTTAGATACCCATTTGGCAAGAACACGCTCCTTGGTCTCTTTCGATAGTTTTGCGTGAAACGGTTGGGCACCGATGCCTTCCTGTCTGAGCTGCGAGGCAAGATTCTCACACTCATCCCGCGAAATAGTGTAGATGATACCAGGAACATTCTCAGCTCGCTCACCGATGGTGGTAAGCTCACTCTTTCGTGGACCCTTGGCTCTACGCTGATATACGCCGCGGATCCATCCGAGGAAGTCGTCTAGACGCTGATCATCTTCATCACGTGTGAATCGAATCTCGAAGTGGAGATTTGGCCGATGGGCAGTCATTGTGAACGTTTTCAGCCTTTCCGGGTTCACGTCTAACCTAAGGATAGCGAGCACATCATTGCGCACCTGATTATTGGCTGTTGCTGTCAGACACATGATAGGCACGTCCGGAAACGATTCTCGAAACCATGCTAGTCTCTTGAAATCCTTGCGGAAGTCATGGCCCCATTCTGAGATGCAATGCGCTTCGTCGATAGCGATACGCGCAAGTTCTCGTTGTTCGTGAACCACCCTCAACCTGTCCCGGAAACGGTCCTGGGCGCAAAGCTCCGGGGTTACATAGAGTAGCCGAGTTCGGGGGTGGCCAGTTTTGAGATCATTCATAATGCGATCTTTTTCTACCAGAGGCGTGTTGCTATTCAACGAGCTAGCGTTAATATCAGCAGCTCGAAGAGCTTCCACCTGGTTCATCATGAGACTCAGCAATGGCGATACAACAATAGTAACTACGTCTCAATGTAAGTAAAAGGCTAGCATTGATGGGAAATAAAAGCGAAATAATAAGAATAGGGAGGTAGAAGTTAAAAACTCACTGCCTTGATCTACTACGGCAGGAAGCTGAAAGCACAAGCTCTTCCCAAATGATGTGGCTGCTTGAACAAAGACATCGTTGCCATCTAGTGCAGCTTGTATAATCTCCCGCTGGAATGGACGAAAGCCAGTCTTGTTGAACTGACGTCGTAACGTAAAGTCGAGATCAGGGAAAATAAACGAGTTGGACCTAACTAGGGCAGGCATTTTCGAGTCTGCCGCCTAGCTGTCCATATGGGCCAAGTTTATTGACAGTTTTCTCGAGTATTCTAGGGTTATGATAGACTCTTACGAACCCTTCAAATGGTTGAAAGTAACGTATTCGCCTTTCCTAATGAAGTATATACCAAGACACGTATATAGCTACAGACAACTCTGCAGCTAAAGTACCTGGGTATTACGCGAACAAGATCCATTCATTTGCATCCAGATGGGTATTTGTTTAGCATTGAATGCTGTGTTAAGGATAGGTACCCAATGGATGCTTGGTAATAGAAGTCGGTGGGTGACTGGGATATCTTACTGAGATAGTTGAAAGTGCCTAGATTCCAACTTAAGTTAAGTTTAGAAGATAAAGTCAATTGCACAGGTCAAACACTGTCTATTTGGTACATTAGGTACTAACTATCTACATACAGGTACCTATGTAGTAGATGCGCTTCCTCAAGTAGGAAGTACATAGAACCTGGAATATTTCTGATATTTCTATCTTTACTTATTATGTGGGCCATCGCGACTTCCAGACTTGCCTAATCGCGTCGGTCTCCACCCGTCGCGTGGGAACTACCTAAATAAATGGGTCTTGGGGCAGTATATGGTTCGTGCACACAAAAGTTGGTGGTACATTCTTACATAGTACCAGCGCCACAGCTATAAGGTACCTACGACCGAACACATTATGCAATACCTACCTATACATTTGCACAAATTTGATCTGTTTGTGTGCCTAACCTAAAGTGTTTCAATAATTAACTTTATGCACCAATTCTCAATGAAAACATTGAATGGGAAGGATTAAAAATCTTGCAGAAAAAAAAAATCTATTTTGGTGTCCCCTACCTCTGTAATACTCATCACACCCAACAATGCGAAGAAGGAAAAAGGCGGCGGCTGGCAGTCTCATCTCGAGCCTCTCTCACGAGTCAACGGGGACTAAAAGACGCGAGCAGGGGATAACCCAAGCGCTTTCTCCACTTGGCTCTGATTCGTTTACACCAACTTCCCTTTTTGGTATTCTATACGCCCCTACCGCTCTGCTATCAGCGGTCATCCACTATTATTTAGGACTTCACGCCCGCCGTGGCGCTGTTTAATCCCCTTATTCCAGGCGTTGCTAGTGGACAAAGAACCCCTTCCCTCCAACTAGTGCCCAAGACCCGATCCCTTGTGTCTGGCCTACGTTGCGCCGCACATCGCTTGGCCCCCCTAATGACCACCTGAAAGAGCTTCAAGAACCAGGGGGCCTGCATACGAATTTCTGCATTCTTCGACGACATCAGTGCTTTCACCCTTTCGACTAGACCTGTTTCAACTCCGAACCCTTCACAAGCACTACTACTGTAACAGTTCTCATCGAAACTTCCCTTACAGCTCTGACTCTGTCTTTACTTACGCCCAATTCCATGAAAATTCCATGAAAATTCCATGAATTTACTACTTTTGTACTTGAAACTAGATATTGGGTATATTGGGTTGTTGAGTTCCGCTTCCAGTTCAGTTTCGTCCTCGAAACCAACTTTGTATTGCACTACGACCATGATCTCAGTTCCTCTATTCGGCTCACCGTTCCCGTTCTAACAGACCTATTGG